ATAATAATAATAATAATAATAATAACAACAACAACAACAACAACAACAACAACAACAACAAGAACAACACAAATAAAAGGAGAACTGTTAAGTATTTTCCAACTCAGAAAAATTTGGAGAGCAACTTCACATATTCATTGAGGATTACAGCATATTTTGGCTTTCCAAATTAAGTTAAAAACTTAATAACTTTAATCTAAAGTTATTAAGTTTTTAACTTAATTTGGAAAGCCAAAATATGATTGTATTGCTTCTTTAAATTCTGCTGCTTTTTATGTGGTTTAAATAAAACACAACCTGAAGCTGTAATTGAAAGGAAAAAAAAGTCTACTAACATATTGAAAAGAAAAAAGAAAAAAAAGTATTATTTTTGGGTAAAAGTACTTTTTATACTTTTGATTCTTAGATTTAATAATCAGAGATTTGTGAAAATATTATTTTGTGTTGTTTGCTGGTAAAGGCCTTAAAAATACAATTTAAATTGGATTTATTTGTATTGGTTTGCTTAAGAATGCTACAGAAGTTGTGCAGAGTGGCAGTCTATTGCACTGTTAATAAAACGAATAACTTAATTAATGTATTAATGAATTTCTATCATCCACTTTACTAAGAAGTACTAACAGGTTTTGACATATCAGAAGACCTGTCAAGGTTGGATGGGTGGTACCTGGGGCTTTGTCTGGAATCTCTTGTTTAAAAATTTTAATTCCTTTGTCTAGGCTCTTGCCCAGTCTCTACTTCAGCATCTCATGGGCATCTTTGAAGTACTTTAGCAAATACAAACACACACACACACACACACACAGACATGCACACACACACATACAAACATACATATAGGGGATATACTATAGATGATAGATGATGATAGATGACAGATGACAGATGACAGATAACAGATAACAGATAACAGATGACAGATGACAGATAACACATGATAGATGACAGAGGATGGATGGATTTGTATTTGCCACAGACATTTTACCTATAAAACTGAGGTGAACATAGAAATTGTCTTGTGCTACAATTAAAACCATCTGAAAGACAAGTCTAGCCCTTGTTCTATGGACTAAAGCCAGTGTAAACAAAAGCTCCAAGCTCCTTCTCACATAGCTAATTTACCTCAGGGCTGCTGAACCAAACTAGGCTCCTGCAAAATGAGCCCCTTGAGGATAGTTACAAACCGCCCATAGATAAAACTCTTCTTTCCTTCTCTGTAGCAGTGTCAGGCCAAAGAAAATGATTTTCAGAGTGTTCCAGTCCAGCTTGAATACTGGGACATGGAAAAGGAGTCAAATATTTGAGCTCATTCCACAGACTGCAAAGCCTGAACACCACTATGGAAAATCAGTCAAGAGTTGGTGTCTTTCTTCTGCGTGGATTCCCTGATACTGAGGAGTTACAAATACTTCATGTCATATTTTTTTTAGTAATTTATTTGGTGGCCCTCACTGAAAATCTCATCATCATCACTGTCATTGTTTGTAGCCATCAACTCCATTCACCCATGTATGTTTTTCTGGCCAACCTTTCCTTCCAAGATCTTGGCTCTATTTCTGTCACAGTTCCCAAGTCCCTGTTGAATTCCTTGATGAACACTGAAACTATTTCTTACTCTGGATGTCTCTGCCAAGTTTTCTTCTTTGTTTTCTTTGTGATGTCTCATCTCTTCCTCCTGGTTGTCATGGCATATGATCGTTATGTAGCCATCTGCAATCCATTACATTATGAAACAGTAATGAACAAAAGAGCCTGCATTCAAATTATAACCAGTGCATGGATTGGTGGTCTGTTTTATTCAACACTCTATATAGGAAATTTAGTCACAGTGGAGTTTTGTTCCAAAATCATCAATCAGTTCTTCTGCGAAATCCCTCAATTGCTCAAGATCTCTTGCTCTGATTCTTATGTTCCAGAAGAACGGGCACTCATCCTTGGTTCTTGTGTAGGGTTCATACTTTTTGCTGTAATTGTGTTTTCATATGTTAAGATTTTTAGAGCAGTTTTGCAAATCCCATCTACCCAAGGGAAGCAAAAAGCCTTCTCTACTTGTTTACCTCATCTTGTAGTCATTTGTCTGTTTATGGTAAGTGGCAATATTGCATACCTGAGACCCACATCCAGCTCCCCGTCAACATCAGATCTCTTGATTTCTTTGTTCTACAGTGTGGTACCACCACTTATGAACCCTCTGATCTATAGCATGAGGAA